GTTGTGACCAGATTTAAATTTAGATTTCATTAACTTATTAAAACGTAAAAAAAGTTAAAGAAACATAAAATTCTTTGTAGTCACGTCTTTAACAAAGTCCAATGTTATATGTATAGTTGAAATCAGAATTATTAGCCCCCCTTTAAATTATTTTTTTTTTATATTTCCCAGATAATGTTTAACAAAGCAAGGACATTTTCACAGTATGTCTGATAATATGTTTTCTTCTAGATAAAGTCGTATTTGTTTTATTCCGGCTAGAATAAAAGCAGATTTTAGCTTTAAAAACCAAATGTATTAGCCCCTTTAAGTTATATTTGTTCTCGATAGTCTACAGAAAGGGCATCCGCTGCGTAAAAACATGCTGGATAAGTTGGCGGTTCAGATTAATAAAGGGACTAAGCCGACAAGAAAATGAATGAATGAATAGTCTACAGAACAAACCATCGTTATACAATAACTTGCCTAATTACCTTCCTAGTTAACCTAAATATCCTAGTCAAGCCTTTAAATGTCACTTTATATAGAAAAAAATATCTATTAAAATAGTATTTACTGTCATCATGGCAAAGAAAAATCAGTTATTAGAGATGAGTTATTAAAACTATTATCATTAGAAATGTGTTAAAAAAAATTGTCTCTCCGTTAGACAGAAATTGGGGAAAAACAAACAGTGGGGCTAATAATTCAGTGGGGTTAATAATTCTGATTTCAACTGTATATACCTGAAATAAATACCTGAAATACTGATTCATCTGACCTTAATACATGTTTTCACTGTGTGATGGTCCATGCTTACAAGCCCAGAGAAGTTTATGATGCTTTTGTGTTAACATAGGGCTTCCTTTTAGCACAGTGGAGTTGTAAATAGCACTTACGGATGTAATTACATATTATGGTACTTGACAAAGGTATGCCAACGTAGTCCTGAGCACATGAGGTGATATCGCTGCAGTGCCGCTTTAGGGATCGGAGATCACTATTGTTCAGCTTAAGCTTGCACCCTTGTCCTTTAAGCACTGAAATTCCTTCAGATTCCTTGAATCCTTTAATAATGGCATGCACTGTTGAAGGGGAAATATTCAAATGTCTTCCTATCTTTTTTTGAGGAACATTGTTTTTAGACATTTCAATAATTTTCTAACATAGTTGTTGGCAAGCTGGCAATCCATGGCCCATATTTTAAGGATTAGACCTTTCTTGGATGCTGCTTTTGTACCAAATGGTAATTACAACCACCTGTTGACATCACCTGTTTCAAAACACATCACTATTTAACCAATTTCCCTGTATACTAGCCCTAAATTGCTTCTGTCCCAACATTGTTTGAAATGTGTTGCAGGGCTAAATGACAGAAAAGGATGTATATTTACAACTGTTGGTCAGACAAAACATGAAATATTATGTATTCATATAGTGTGCAATGAACTATCTAAATATTGCATATCAGATTATTCTTATGTATGATTACATGTAAAACTATTACTTTTATATATTGCATTATACATTTTTAATATAACATATAAAAACCTAGACTTAATATTTGCCATAATGCATGTATGTTGAGTTATTTTCTTTGATTTATATGCACATGCAGCTCTCTGATCATTCCGTTTTAGGTCTTCAGAGGACCAAGCCTGTTGAGAGTAAGAATAAACCCCTCAGGAGATAAAATGAAACGTGCGCACACACACACACACACATACTTCATTTACTGAAAGAGAGAGAAGAGCTTGCCCACTAAGTACAAACACTTACATGCGCACACACATTATAACGGCCATCTCTCGGTGCCATGGCGATGCAGCATCCCCCCAAAAAAACTCACCTCCTCCTCTGAAATCCAACCCAGAGCCTCGGATAGATGTACACACTCACACAGACAAACACACACCCACAGTTTCAGACAGTAAAGTATGCACAAGCCGTCCCGGACATCTGAAAGCACATTAAGTGTCATTCCCCCCCCCTCCTGAGCATTAGGCATGTTAAAAAGACACGGCAAATTGCAAGCCTACACTCTCTTTGTTAGCGACAGAGGGAAAAAAGGAGAGAGGCAGACTGAGTCAAAAGCAACTGACAGGCTGAATGAATGTAGTGTGAAGAGTAAAAATAACCCTCAGATCTGCAAAAGTACTGTAAGATTTACAACTGTAGGATAAATCAAGCGTAATAGTTTCTGTTAGCGAGGGGCTCTGTGTATAAATGTGACAAGAATTGTATTTTAGCAGATTTTCTGTCAATCAGTGTCTTTTGGGAAGTAAAAAAAAATCAGGAATAAGGGGACATTTTTGGGAATTATACAGCAACATTAGTGGCTTGTGACAGTAATAATAGATTTAGACATGTAAAGTCTGAAAAGCTGGTCTGGAAGTAGAAGTTACTCATTGATATTTCTAGGGAAGGGATTGGATGACGGGTTCAGCACCAAGGACAGCAGCTGAAATCAGCAGTGGGAAAATAAAACACTTTTCAAAGTTACATTCAAAAGTTATTTATAATTAGTGTTTTAAATAATTCAATACTTTTATTTAGCAAGGACATAATACACTAATGAAACATGGCATTAAAAATGTTTATGACACTATAAAAAATGCTGTCTTTTGCTGAAGGAATGCAGAGAAACAATGAGCTTAAAAATGCGTCCTTTGGAAGCAGCATTCCAGGGCGGGAATGCATCAAGGCATGTCCGAATCCAAATTCTGCTTCACTTCCTGCCTCGTGAGATATCTACTTCTCATCGAATTTCCAAAGATGTGTCCGTCTCTGCCTTTGAAATCCAACAATCCTGGGTGTGTCATTTCTTACAGATGAGCTAAAAAAAACATGGCATCTCAAAGTGCTGCTCGAGTGTCTTTTTGTGTGAATGTACATTCATGACCAACATTTTCCACATTTGATGACATTTCAGTTAGTATTGTAGTATTGTATTCCCATGGTTATAACCAAAGCTCTCTCTCGGTTTTGTTGTATGTGATTAAATCATGTTGCTGTCTCAGAAGTATGCACTGCTTGATGAGCAGCAAGGTAACAAGTTAGCTGCCATACAAACTTTTTAATATTCATAATAAAACATAATAAAATGTTTCTTGCTACTGTATACTGATTTTTGAATGATCATCTGACACTCATAGATGCAGTAATGGATGAAAAATGTGTAAAAAGCTAGTGATTTAAAGGATATTGATAGAGAATAAGAAACTGAAAATGAATTGTAATTTTAGGGCTGCACTGAGATCCTTGTTACTAAAAGCCAAGGTATGCTAGCAGAGTACCTTGATTGTTACAGCGGACTGAGAGTATAGCCATATCAACCTAGAGAATAGCAACTTGTCATTTTACTATGATTGCAGTCTTAGTACACAATGTAACTACAGAGGTTTCAAGCTTTAAATAGAAAAATATTGAAACTCTGGTCATTTTTGAGCGAAATGCTAATGGTCTAAGCTATTCAACAACCTATGCTGATTACGATTTTCTCACAATTCTGTAAATAGGTTTATATGATTAGCTTATTATTATTGTTCATTCTCAAACATATAGTAAAACAACAAAAATAATATTAGGTCTAGGTCTACTGTTGCTTAAAATCCTAAATTTTGTATAGTCATTATGGTGGACTTGAACAGACTTTCAATATGTCCTTTTTGTTAATTTACAGTAAAATTATGACATCAGAATAGAACTATTCATAATTATATTGATTTATTATGTTTAAGACATGTGCTTGTCATTTGTTATTGACAGCATTATTAGTCCATTTGTTTTCACTGGTAAAATCAGACATTTGTCATCATTAGATTGCTTCTTGCATTATATTCAAGATGATATATATATATATATATATATGCTAGGGGTGTTATACTGACATGGTAAACATTTATTTTCATGCACTTTGTGTTGGCTATGAAAGAAAAAAAAACATCAAATGTTTGTCGTAATTATAACTGTAAAATGCATTATAAATTATAATCATTTAAATGATGTGTGCACAGGTTTCACTTTCACTTCCGAGTGCGGCTCATGGCTGATGTCACTGTGAGAAGAAACACAAACATGCAAATCAAACCTCCTGCACGGCCCTCAAACTATCGCTCTGTGCAACAAACTGAACGTTAATGGACTTCATTACCTGTTATTCAAAGCCTATCCAGGTTGTGTTCACTAAAGTAGGCGTCATGCGTGCATGCGCGCATTCTCGGAAGTAAACAAGCAGTGCATCAGCTCATGTGTGATTTTGCAGCCGTGAATACATCATTACATGAAGACAGAAATTACATTTTTGGGTGAATTATACCTTTTAAATACAGTATGTGACACTTTTAATGCCATTTGAAGGTGTCAGTGTTGCTGTGAAGACTTTTGCGACAGCTTTGCTTTTCTCCTGACCTTGAAAATATAATTGGCTGAATCGTAGAAAAAGCTGAATCAAGATCAAGTGTAGGGTCGAATCGAGATCGTGATCTTTTTTTGATCAATCGTGCAGCCCTAATGCTAAGCTAAGCTAAAAGTGCTCCCGTCAGACATAGAGATCGACTGCATGTATTCAAAAATAGTAAAACTCAATTGTTCAACTCTAGGGGAGCTTCATAATGAGCTTATATTTAAAAAAAAAGTTGAGTGTTTCTTTAAATATAGTCTTTTATTATGTCATCAAATGATTATTGCTCTAAATATGCCTGGAAAGATGTGTTGGTATATAAACTGTTGTTACACTCTGTGGCATTTTAGTCAGTGTGTTCTGTAAATCCTAATAAAAATGTATTAGTCATAATTTGTCCTCATTGTTTTGTTGCCTGAGAAGCTCTTTTCGTCTCTGACCCGTGTACTGAGAGAAAGGTTATCTACGTACGGCGCTCACAGTGAATGCCAGGGAAAACAAACTGATAAACATGTTTGCTTTGAAAGCACTGTAAGTGCCTGCCAGTTTAATAAAGCTCTTTGTGCTTGTCCCAATATTTTTTCAACTAATTAATCTGCTCTCTTTCTCTCTGATATAGATGTTCTCAAAGAGATCGTTGTGAGCGGGCAAACGAGCCGTACCGCTTTGCCGCCACGCTGAACCAGTGTGTGAAAGCTACAGTGTACCCAGACAGCATCGCCGTGTCTGAACCCAGCGTACCGGTGAGACACCATTTACACCCTACACTCACACCAACACAAACACCTCAATAACCTCAAGGTGACGTGGACTCAAATACAGACGCATGGATTCCTTCCAGCAAGAGAAATTAGCATGAATTAGCTTTCAGTGCAATGTTTGAGAAGCAGTTTTGGGTTTGGAAATCATGCGCTTGCTGTGTGGGAGTTCTCAAAGAGCAAGATATCTGGAAACAGAGGCCTTTGGGAAAGGTATATGTGTGGGTGAGATGCCAAAAAATGTGTGGGCCGGAGTAGGAGTTGCATTTAAGAAGACTGAAACATCATTTCAAGGCTAAGAATCGAGTTTTTAGCATTATTTTTAGCTGCTCTCTTAAAAATAAATGTTGTTTAATGGCGTAGATCACAGAATCCTATCATAAGACAAAACTAGCTGTAGTCTGGTTTACACAATCTGATGCGCATGTAACCAGGGGCAGTTCTAGGATTGCGTAATTAGAGGAATTAGCTTTTAAGGTTCTGACTAAATTTGATTTACTGCCATCTATTCTTTAAGTATACAAATATTGTAAAAAAAAATGATGCAGCATTACACGTTTCAAATCAGCAGTTGCTTGTTAATAATTTAATAAAATTCATAATGACTTCATGTTACATTACTGATTAATCCATTTTAAAGAATTTAGTGGCACGCATTTAAGTTGTTTTTAATTTCTGCAGAACACAAAAGAAGATTCTGTTGGAAATTGGTGATTTTAGCTTCTATCCGGGTCACGGCACCAAATTGTTGGAAATTTTATAACCCAAAGCAGGGAACATATTTTAGGCAGAATTCTCTATTGAGAACGTGTTGGTTTTTCTGCCAGCTTCTTCGATTGTTATCATTTATTTTCTTGTCGGCTTAGTCCCTTTATTAATCCGGGGTCGCCACAGCGGAATGAACCACCAACTTATCCAGCAAGTTTTTACACAACGGATGCCCTTTCAGCCGCAACCCATCTCTGGGAAACATCCACACACACATTCACACACACACTCATACACTACGGACAATTTAGCCTACCCAATTCACCTGTACCGCATGTCTTTGGACTGTGGGGGAAATCGGAGCACCCGGAGGAAACCCACGCGAAGGCAGGGAGAACATGCAAATTCCACACAGAAACGCCAACTGAACCGAGGTTCGAACCAGCGACTTATCAACCGTCTTGCTGTGAGGCGACAGCACTACCTACTGCGCCACTGCGTCGCCCTTAAAATATATTTTAACTACTAAAATTAAATCCAGAAGAACTTGAATAAAGCGGAATTTAAGAGAGAAGGTTTTATAGGGCCAGTGATTGCATTATAACCCTATCAGAATATGGAATATTCCTGGTTTAGCCCCCAAATAAGATGACCAGATGTCACATTTTTCCATTTTTAGTCCTGTATATTAGCTCTGTTTTTTACTGAGAACAAGCCTAATCAAACGTGACCAAACTCGTAGAGCAAAATTACCATTCGATCACAATTCACTATCAATTACCTTCCAATAAGAGAAGCTGGGGCAGGCAGAATCATGCTGAATGACACAGCTGAAGCAATCCTAGTTCCCTCAGACAGCGTACAGTCATTTTACCTTGCACCTGAATTATTAAATCACACACACTTGTCAAAATACTCATTCTCTGGGCTTTCTCAATCTCTACATATGGCCCTATTTTTAGCTCCTTCCAGACACCTTTATTTTTAAGTGTGTGGATTATTTTTATTCATGCAAAAAGTACAATCTCAGGCATTCCGGGAAATATAAAGGCATGCTTGGGGGAAAAAAAGACCTGTCTGGGAAGCCATGAAGAAATTGCGATGTCCAGATAATTGATAGAGTGCCTGTATCACAGCTAGCTGATTAAGATAATGAGGCGTCCGGCTCTAAATGAGATGTTTCTGTCGTGCCGTTGCGCTCCACAACATGACAACAGGGTCACCGCTGCTCCATGATGGGATACCATCGCCATGACAACAAGCCTATCTGCGCGGAGCATGAAAGCTGCAAAAACAATCAAATTACCTTTATTAGAAATGCTTGCTACAATTAGCCCTCCCTGCACATCGGCAGCCGTGAAGGGAAAATAAAAAAAGAGAGCTAACGCATGTTGAAAGGAGCAAAGGCAAAACATAGAGACTCCCATCACGCCTCGTCAGTGTTGTTATGGTCAGACAATGCTTTCTAGAGCACGCTAACCACAAACAATGCCTTATGTCGATGTTTGAGGACGCTCCGTGTGTCTTCAGCGAACAACAAGACGGCTAATTAGCAATTCTGTAGCTGTCGCTCAGAGTGCACAAGACTAAAGAGTGCAGAGAAGAACATCCGTGCGCTTTTTGAAGTAATTAGATGTCATAGATGTGGGAAATTACAAAACAGAGCAACGAGGAGGGTCGGACGTAAGTGGTAAAAAGTCAGATTATTTATGTTTTTAAAGTCTTATGCTCATCAAGGCTGCATTTATTAATTGAAAAATTTTATTACAATTTAAGATTTGTTTTTTTTTCTTTTTTTCAACATATTATGACATGTAATTTATATGACGCAAAGCTAAATTTTACTTTTGTCTCTGTATCACAAGTCAGAATATTCTTAGCATAATTCTAATATAATTATTTGCTGTCTAAGGGACTTATTATTATTATTATTATACTTATACCGCATGTCTTTGGACTTGTGGGGGAAACTGGAGCACCCGGAGTAAACCCACGCAAACAAGTGGAAAACATGCAAACTCTACACAGAAACGGCAACTGACCCAGCCGAGGCTCAAACCTTCTTGCTTTAAGGTGATCGTGCAATCCACTGCGCCACCGTGTAGCTCAGTTTCGTTGTTATTATTTTTATTATTATAAATTTTATTAACATTCATTCATTTTCCTTTCTGCCTAGTTCCTTTTTTAATCTAGGGTAGCCACAGCGGAATGAACTGCCAACTTATCTAGCATATGTTTTACGCAGCGAATGCTCTTCTAGTTGCAACCCATCACTCAGAAAACATCCATATACACTTGTGTACACACATACACTATGGACAATTTAGCTTGTTAAATTCACCTGTACCACATGTCTTTAGACTTGGTGGGGAAACCCAAAGGATAATTACATGAACACAGGGAGAACATGCAAACTCCACACGAAAAGGCCAACTTACCCAGCCGAGGCTCGAACCATCGACCGTCTTGCTGTGAGGTGATCGTGCTACCCACTGTGCCCCCATGGCGCCCTATTATTATTATCATTGTTAAAAAATAATCATGAAAATATTTGATTATAAAGTATAATTATACAAAAACCCATATTCAACACTGAAAATATTTAGAATCTTTATTTAAGGTTGGAGACAAGTGGTCTCCAACCTTTTTGTCACTGTGGACCAGTCAACGATTGACTTTTGACAACGATTGACACCCACCCGGGGGTAGATTACTAGACCATCAACTGTTTTCTCAGAGGATGACAAGCTGACAAAACATTGCTGCAACTCTGCTACAAGTTTTATTTATAGAAAAAATTAAAAGCACTGCATTATATTTCTGTGACAAATAGTCGACCAAAATGTGTTTTCCATACAAAATATAAAGCTGATGCTAGTTGGTGCGTCACTCCCAATATGAGCACACAAGCCGCATGAATCCATTGAAAATAACTAATGCGGAAAAGATGCGATATGGGAAAGGCCATCGTCGTTTTCGATCTGCAGCAGTTAATCTTGCACAGACATGGTGGGTTCACCTGATGAGTTGACAAATGGGTTGCAGATCTATTTCGCTCAAGTGACTGAGATGTAACAAAAACTGAGAAACTGAGAAAATACGGTCATTTTTCAAAATAAAAGATTTTTCAAAATGAAAGATCGTTTAGACTTAGATAATAAATAAAACTGAAATAATTTATGTTGTAAGGCCTGGTACCAACTGATCCATGGACCGGTACTGGTACCATTGTCTGTGGCCTGGGGGTCGGGCATCACTGTTCTAAAGCATCAAATTAGCAAATTACAATGATTTTTGAAATATTGATTGAAAAAATAGATTTAAGCAATTGCGACTTTTAATTCCTTTATTGTTCATCAAATAAAAAAGGATCACATTTTACACATACCTGGTTTCATCTACAACATCTCTTTCCTCCATCTAGCTGCTTGTGAAAGTGACAGATGTTCCGGATCTTTCCGCTGGAATCACTTGCTCCTTTGGGAACCTGACAGAGGTTGAGGGCCGAGTGAATGGCAATCAGATTCTCTGCATTTCTCCGGCTGCTAAAGATGTTCCCATCATCCCCGCTGATCAAGGTATTTATTTAAACCTGAACTCCATATTGCGGTACTATTTTATCACCCCATAAATGTATAGCTGATTTCTACAGCTCGATTAACTCAACTTTCACCATCAAATTGCATCACTTTTGTTTATTTTATTTATACATCCATCTACCTGTTTCTTTCCCAGAGGTATTTAGTGATGGAATGATCTGTAATTTATTTGGTTATATTTTTAATATGCTTTTACTTATTTTTTGCTATATTGCATACCAAAATGTTGTACTTTTTACCAGGGTGTGAATTACAGGGAGGTTTAAGGGCGATTTATCCCCCTAATTAATGCTTGATCCCCTCTAAAGGATGTGAAAACAACATGTATAGGGGGTTTGTCTTCTAAATACTAAGAAATAGTTTGTTCTCATCTGGATCTTAAATATGAATATTATTAATTTAAATAATAGATAAGATAAATATACATTTGACCACCCTAGAGTGGATTATACCATTGTGAATGCATAATCGCGTCAATTTAATCTAAACCGAAAGACATGGCTAGTGTTCACAAAACACTTTTGTGTAAATGTTTTAACGCTTAAGCACGTTAAAAATACTTAAATATGATGATACTGTAGCATCAATAATAAGTACCAGTTCACACCATTTTCTACTGGTTTACTACCTGCTTATAACTGTTTAGTAGCACTATTTTACATCCCAATACCTAAACCCAACTACCTTACTATCAATAAGCAGCTAATTAGTAATTAATTGACTTAGACTGTGTATTACTAGCATCAATTGTGCATTCAAACAAAGTGTGACCAATATTTTTGTACCGTGTGTCCGTTCTTCTTCTTCTCAAGTGCTTGATTTGTACACTGGAGGTGGAGAAGATCTCTATTCTCTTGTATAGATGCTCTATTAATAGACCCTCCCTAGTGTATAAAGCAGTGTTGCTTCCTAATGAGGGCTCATTCAGCAGAGCCGCAGTATCGATCCCTCTGTCCACGTGTAGCGGCGGCTCTAATGAGCCTATAGTGACCTGGGCTTGGCCCCGGGGCCACAGACGTGCTCTCATACACACTCACAGCTATTACAGGTGACAAGGCTTCATGCCCTTTCACTACCCAGAACACCTCCAGAGAGAGAGTTCCTCCCCGGCGCTGATCTGCAAGCCCGTTTGGAGTTATCTGTGGTATTAATATCGGGGATCCTGTTCCTCTACCTTCACCCTAAGGATTTCTGTCATTAGTTAAAAATGGTTGTAAATAGTTTTAATAACTACTTTCTTTGACATGATGATAGTACTTAATATGTTGCTCATTATTTTGAAGGATGCAGGTACTTGGCATATATTATATTATATTATATTATATTATATTATATTATATTATATTATATTATATTATATTATATTATATTATATTATATTATATTATATTATATTATATACTAGACAAGTTAGGTTACATTTTTTTTATTCCAGCCAAATAAAAATAATTATATTATATTATATTATATTATATTATATTATATTATATTATATTATATTATATTATATTATATTATATTATATTATATTATATTATATTATATTATATTATATTTTTACCATTTTATATTTCATTATATAATAAAAATATGAATTTTTAAAAAACTACTTTTATTCCAGCCAAATTCAAAGAAATATTTAAAATTACGATTATATGATATTTTACAAATAAAACTGAATATTAATTTAATTTATTGAAGTTATTATTTTTTATTTTATTATAAATAAACTTTATTTATAATTCCTGATGCAGTGTAAATACATATATATTTCATTTCATTTATTTACTTATAAAGCACAAATAAACACACACTAAAAAATATTTGAACCAAACATTTTTTAAACGGCTTTAATGTTAGCCAAATGATAAAAAAGTAACCCTTTCTCCAGAAAAAAACTATATATTATATATCTATTCTCTGTTAAACATCACTTAATTTTATAATTGTAAAATAATTACAATTCCACTTGAGGGCTAATTATTTAGTTTAATAGTTTAAGAGTGACATGCATACGGTACGGCCAATTTAGCGTTTTTAATTCACCTGTAACGCATGTCTTTGGACTGTTGGGGGAAACCGGAGCACCCGGAGGAAACCCAAACAAACACAGGGAAAAACTCCACACAGAAATACCAACTGACCCAGCCAGGGCTCTAACCCACAGTGCCACTGTGACGCCCCATATAAACTATAAAAAAATAAATATAAATAATAAAGATAATGTTAAATATATATGTATATATATATATATATATATATATATATATATATATATATATATATATATATATATATATATATATATATATATATATGCACACAGTTGAAGTTATTAGCCCCCTTTTGATTTTATTAAATTTTTTTAAATATTAAATAAAAAATATTAATATTTAAAAAAATTAAAAGGGGGCTAATAATTCTGACTTCAACTGTATGTATGTATGTATATTCCTTTAGTCATTCCTTTAGTAGTATTTTACTTTATTTTACTCACCAATATTAAAATGCTTAATCAAATGTAAATATTTAATTGTTTAATTTATATTCCATCTGTTTTAAAATAAAACTATGTTTGTCCTTGAAAGGGGAACAAAACTATGACATTTGTTAATATAACTAATTAAATACTGTATAACATATTAAGTGTATTAGTTGCTTCTTAGTAAATTTATTTAGGGGACACTATACTGTCAGTGAGTGCCGTCTTTGGCATGAGACATTAAACTGAGGTCCTGACTTTCTGTGGTCATTAAAAATCCCATGGCACTTCTCGTAAAGAGTATAGCTGTAACCCTGTTGTCCTGCCCAAGATATCTCTATTGGCTTTTATCCTCCTACTCCACAAAATTGGTTGTATCACTGTCTCTCTACTCCAACTATAGCTGCTTGCTATAGTTGCGTCGCACTTGCGCCGTTGTCCTATGGGTGCCATCGCATCATCCAAGTGGATGCTGCAGACTGGTGGTCGTGTGGAGAGACCCCCCCCCTTCTTGATTGTGAAGCGATTTAGGTGTATGGCCATGCACGATAAATGCACTATATAAATACACATTACATAACAATAAACATATTATCAAATCAAATCAAACCACTTGTATTATCATATCATCAGCAGCACACGTGCTGTGATGGGTGAAAAGGTACTGGCTCCAGACTAAATACATTGACAGTGTAAAGTACAACAACATACTACCAAAAACAAAACAAAACAATATACAATTGGCAATGTTGACAGTAATACATAAGATAATGAATAGGTGTACACATAGTCTGACTGTTGGTGCTAAATTGGTTGGTAAATTAAGTATATCAGTTGCTTCTTAGTAAATGCATTTTTATTTTTTATAAAAAAAATAATTATTAAATATAATAATTTGTTTTATTAGTTTTTATTTATTTATATTGTTAAAATATGATCTTGAACTAATGTAAATATATAATTAATTATGTGTGTGCATGTTTGTTTGCAATTTTACAATATCAAACTATAAATTTGTAATATTTGTTTTAATATAATATTTATTTAATATAGTATTTTTCTTCTTGTTGTTTTTTTGTAATTATTACAAGCATTGATTTTAGTCTTCAGTGTAATACACGAAATCATTCTGCTATTCTTGGTCCTGAAAAAGCCGTCTTACTTTACTATCAGTGTCAAAACCACAGTGTGGGAAACCATAAGTAGAGGATCCCATTCCACTGAAAACCACATGATGTAACTGCATATATGATTACAGAGATAACGTTCAAATGTTGAGTTGTAAGCAGTGCTTATACAGCAAGATTACACTGATTTTTTTTTAAAGCTTACATTCATCCATGGTGAAATTCCTACATGTGCTTGCCGTCTAACCTCTTTCGGGAAGCAGATGGCCATATATATGCGGCAGAAGTTGGTTTTGATTATCTGAATCACAATAATCCCCTCCCAGCCCACAGTAAATGACAGCTCTGTTTACCCATGACCCCTGCGCTCTTGTTGAGAGGAGCGTTATCCAATCAGTGAGCTCCCTCAGGTAAATGTCATCAAATCCCCCGGCGCTTCATATTCAGTGCGTCTCTCTTGACTGAATCAGGCTCAGTAGGAGCCCATATGAGCTTCCAGCATGTGTGGAAATACACACTCATTGAGTGCTGGGTGTGACCAATACAAGTTTATTTCCAATAGCCGCGAGGCATGAGATGCTTGGCATGTGGGAATTGTGTGCCAGTTATTGTCCTTGGCATGTACACTAAAAAAAGGATCAAATAGTATAGCTCCTGATATAAATTATAATTAAGGATGTATGAGTGCTTGTGTTCTATTTTTATATTATAAAGTAAAATAATAGAAATCCATTATTCCAGTCTTTAGTGTCATTTCATACATTCATTCATTCATTCATTCAATCATGTATGTATTTATTTATTTATTTTATAATTTTTTACATTTTTGAAATGTTTAATTTTATTATTTAATTTTATTATTTAATTTAATTTTGTTTATTTATTAATTAATTTATTTATTTTTTTACATTTTTTAAATGTTTAATTTAATTTTATTTTATTATTTCATTTTTATTTATTTATTTATTTATGAATGTATTTATTTATTTATCTATTTTTTATTTGTTTGTTTGTTTATTTATTTCTCTGTTTTTGAATTGTGAGCCATTTATTGTCCTTGGTTTGTGAGTCAAAAAACTGAATAGTAAAATTCTTGATATGGCCTATAAAAACTAAATATTTGTATATGTGTGTGTGTGTGTGTGTGTGTGTGTGTGTGTGCTATTTTATTATTATAAAATAAAATATTACAAAATAAAATTATGAAGTAAGTTATGTAATAACATTTACTTTAATTTAATTTAATTTTGATTTATTTTATTTTCAATATTAAAACTCCTTGTTTGGTTTAAATACTAATTTATATCAATTCAATAAAATGTATTTTCTTATAAAGCACAAATAAAGACAATAAACAACAATAGTTGACGACTATATAATATCTAAATATATAGAATAATTTAAAATAAAAAAATAGGCATAATTCCCGACTTTCGGATGAGACGATAAACCAAGGTCCCGACTCTCTGTGGTCGTGAAAAATCCCAAGATGTCCTTCGAAAAAGATTAGGGGGTTAACCCTGGCATCCTGGCCAAATTTGTCCACTGGCCTCCATCCATCATTTCCTCCTAACCATCCCCATATCATAACTGGCTTCATCACTCTATCTCCTCTCCACCAATCGGCTAGTGTAGTCTGGCGCAGTAAATGACTGCCGTCGCGTCATCCAGGTGGATGCTGCACACTGGTGTTGGATGAGGAGATTCTCCCCCTAAGCCAAAATGTGTAAAGCGCTATAAGTGTCAATAAAAGTGCTATATAAATGTAAGGAATTTTGCAAATAAATAACCAAATGTCAAATCAATCATATGTGAAAACACTCCCTCACTGAGTACTGCTTGTGACCAACTCTAGTTTATTTGCAATAGCCTCGAGGCACGAGATGGTTGGGCGTTTGGGAATTGTGTGCCAGCTATTGTCCTTTTTGGCACATATGCCAAAAGAAATGGTCTAAAAATGTTTTTAAATGCCCCTTCAATCCATTCATCCATGTTAGAATTCGTAGAAACAGGTGGGAAGGAGGGAAGAGAGAGGAAGTGGTGCTTTGGGGTCACGGCTGACTCCTACACACTCTATGCTTGTCGAATTCAGGATGCTGCTTTCTGCTTATTTGACTATGAAGAGCTGGCCGCTTATCGCTTGCTCTTGGTGCCGATCGGCATTCTCCACGCTGCCACTCTGCCAAACGGGATTGCGTGCTGGCTGGTGTTCTGTGGCGCTGCCAGCGGATCCTCCGCCATTACATCGCCACTGCCGCCCGCAGGCCCGTTTCACATTAACAGCAGGCCTCAGCTGTGTTCTGTGACAATAGCATGTCTTTACTATAAAAAAGGGGACAAATATGCTCATATGGGCTGCTCAAGGCTCTGACTGCGAGAATGCCATGCAAGGGATGCCAAGTATTAATCAGAAGACAGCTTGAGCATGAAGCAAGCTGAAAAAAGGGTGGCAAAGCAAACCCTGCCGAATGAGATGTGGCGGAAATGTTCTCATCTATTCTGTTTTGTGTTTTTTTTTTTCAGACTGGTCAGGTGTGGAGCTCAGGCTGAACTCCAAGGAAACGGGTCAGATGCTCATTAGCACTGAGGTGAAGTTCTACAACTGCAGTGTACACCAGCTGTGAGTATACACACACACACACACACACTCACACACACCTCATTTGATTAATAGCGATATTAATAGATATTAAAAATGTGAGAATTGTGCATTAGAGGATTAGAACTCAATGTAGAGGATGGTTCGATTTTATAGTTTTATGTGAGGAGAAAAAGGAGCGAGGACCCAATTGCAGAAAATGTAGGATTTATTATAAAATACAAATAAAAATAAAAGGCAAAATAAAACTACCCCGAGGGGGAAAACATGAATAAAAGGCAAAAACAAACTTGACAGGGCTGGCAGGACAAAGCAGGACTGGAAACAACTAGACAGAGTAATATCGACAACGAACTGGCACAGGACAGAAAACAAGAGGGGATTATAAAGCAAAAGTAAATTGACAAAAACAAGTGAACATGACAAACTAATAATGAGTTAACAAGGAGGGTGGGACTAAACAATAGACGGGAGAGCGCATGACACAGAGAGACAACACAAGCCATGCGCTCACATGAAACGAGACTAGAACACGCAGACAATGAGATAACTCATTAACCGCGTGTTTATGACAATACAAGCACGCGGTGCATGTAAACACACACCACATGCTAGACACAACACCAACAGAAGACTGAACGCAAGACACGAGTACACGATGAATGAAAGCACTCACCGTGCAATCACACAGACAGCGTGCATGTTTCATCCCAGCGCCGACCAAAACCGAAACCAACTAGACTGAGACGCTGGGAATGAAACACCACGCTGCAGACAGACGAATACAAACACGAGTACAAGAGCTCGCGCGTCCGAGACACGCAGAGCCCGCGCGGCCGCATCAAGCGGGAGCACGCACACTGTGCACACCCACGAAGGCGCGCGCACACACGGAGACACACACAATGACAGAAACAAGTGCTCGACCCAAGAAAACTCGAGCCGAGCAGAACAGGACAGGATTAGACATGACTAGTGTCCGGATTCTGCCACCAAAACAAGAATTTACATGACCAGAGTGGCAGAACCCTGACAGTTTTATGCTTTATATTCTCCCATTACGCTCACTAAGACAAGGCTTTATTTGCATTTGTTTTACAAAATTAATAATTTTTGTCTCCCTAAAATGATGTGACCAAAAATCGATAATAATTGTTTTGCAATATAGAATTGTATTGAATGTGAGTACGCCCTCACATTCACACACACACACACACGTTCATACACTACAGCCAATTCAGATTATTCAATTCACCTATAGCGCATGTCTTTGGACTGTGGAGGAAACCGAAGCAAACACGAGGAGAACATGCAAACTCCACACAGAAATTCCAAATGGCTCAGCCGGGACTCAAACCAGCGACCTTCTTGCTGTGAGGCGACATTGCTAACCACTGAGCCACCATGCCGCCTAAACTGCAAATAAAAATACTAACATGAAGTAATTTCAAGAAAACAGAGATAAAGAGAATTCAGGGTTGCTAAAACCACATAATTAGCTATTTGTCAGGCAAGAAATGTTAAGGTGTTATTTTATTAATAATAATAATAAAACATGGCTAAATTGTGATTGATTGCATTTGTCTTGATTTGAATTGCACTGTGGTTTAGCGCAGAGCCGGAGTGGGACTCTTTTTCAGCCCTGGAGTTTCAAGCCTCAGATCGGCCCACCTCAGTTCACCACTGACTATATTAAAATAAGGTCATTTCCAATTCAGTTTCTAATTACACTATCACGTCTTTTTTTGAGAGAACAGCTCTTTTAGAACTTCAAATGTTCAACAACCCTTACAGTATTATGTCAATAAATAACAATAAAAATTTTTTTTTAAAAATGTTACTCAGACAAGGACCGAACCCAGGTTGGCCGCGTCATAATCTAATGTACTATCCACTGTACCAGAACAGCTGTACGTTGAATGGTGACTTATCTAGTTATATCATCAGCACGAGGCTACGAGAAAATAGATAAAAAGAGCAGAGCTGCGGTAAAAAAATGAATAAGAAGGCTGTGGTCAAGTAAATAAATAAATTATTTTTAAAAAGTGTGACTGCTGAGAGCAACAGATTCTGGAACTAGGGACACCGGCCCTCGCGGCCAAAAAACGGACCGGCCCACCGGGAATTCTCCCGGTCCTCCCGATTAGCCAATCCGGGCCTGGTTTAGCGAATTTCATTCTGCATTACCACTCAATCTGGATGTAACTTGTGTTAAATCACAAGATATACAATGTGTTGTGCCATCTATCCGGGGACACGTTGCAGTGATGTTTGTCTTTATGATGCATTCGTCCCACATTCACAGGCCCTGCTGCTGATAATTCCTGTGTTGTGGAGTATCAGTGTTGTGTCACAGCTCAGCCAGCTCCCTCCACACACTGCGAATGATTCAAAAGTGTTATGCAACACACACACACACACACACACAAAATGAGTTGCGGGCCTACAGGCGATTTTTTTTAAACATTCAAAGAGTTCATCAAGACTGCTTTTGGCTCCACACCAGATTCTCGCAGCGAGTCTGAACTCCCTGATTCACGTTTTTGCTTTCTTTTCCGTGTCTTGCGAGAGCCTCGAGGCTATAAAAAGCATCCATTATGGCAAATGCCGACTGATTGCTTGACATTTCTCAAGTGTCGGGGCTGAGATGTCTGAATTGCTGAATCTAAGTGTTCTGTGGGCTTTGGCGCTCGGGATGGGGGCATCGCTGTCTGTCACAGTTCAATTCCACTTCATCTGCTCTGATGGCTGATCAGAGAGCAGAGAGTTGGACCGCATCTCCGCTCTCCAGGAGGGCGCTTGTGTCTGATCGTGCTTTGTGTCTTTGTACACACCGCGCGTGCTCCCCAACTCCCCTCGTGCGTGTTTATGTGTGTTTTAGCGTATATTCATAGCTTCTAATGTGGCCTCGTAACCACATCTCGTAAGCCTGCCTTCTGCGGAGAACAGATGCTGCGCGATGCTGGAGATCACAGTCGCTGGAAGCTTCCTAAAATGCTCAGGAAGAGGCAGCTTCCGAAGGTGCTGATTGGCTGGCGCTGAAAGACTCACCCCCTCCCATTCTTCCCGTTCCCTTCATTTTCGTACTCTTCTATGTCGCAGAAGCATCTGACAGATCTGGAACTAATCAAACTCCTTGTATTTAATCCTTCTGAACATGCAGACCTCACATGGAGCTGCGTTGGCCTTTTGTGCCAATGCCACTTGGATTATGGGTAGTTGGTGGCAGAATGGCCTTTTTTTGTGTTTGACCTGCCATGGTTTTTGGCACGTTTACACTTTCCAAATTTCTTACGTTCTCCATTTCAATTCAAATGCTGTAATAGTTTTTTTTATCTGAGACCTACTATGTCTCTTTTCACATGTTATAATATAACAGACGTCTCAGGTATTTTCAGAATGTGGCTGAAGTTTCAGCTCAAAACATTTTATAGTCACAGTTTACAATGAGATCTATTAGATAATGTTAGTTGATGTATTTACTAAAATGATTAAACAATGAACCATACACTTATTACAGTATTCAGTCATCTTTCTTAATGTTAGTTAAAAACTAAGTCAATCATTGTTGATTCTTGCAATTAACTTATGTTAACAAGCACAACTTTGGATTTTAATAATAGATTAAACTATAAACTATAAATGCTGTACTTGTGTTCTTCATTTTTCATTCATGTTGGTAAATACACTAAGTAACATTAACTAATAGAATGTTAATGTAGTGTCTGATCCATTTATATGTATTTAAATCACTCCATTTATGCCTATTTTGGAATGGAAGATGGTATTTTTGTGTGTGTTTCTTTAAATGCAAATGAGCTGCTGCTCTCCATCCCCTTTCCATAAAAGGATGGATCCTGTGCAAACTGCCCAAACAAACGCTCTCTTTGGTTTTGTTGATCATGGCTATCAAGCTGACATGACATTGTAGTTCTTTATTATCATTAAAGTTTATCAACTGCGTTCATTTTAAAGCATTGTCTGTTTAAACTGAACCTGATCTGTCCCGAAAGATGTTGAACAGAGCAAAGAAATTTTCACAGGATGTCTGATAATATATTTTTTTCTTCTGGAGAACATCTTACTTGTTTTATTTCGGCTAGAATTAAAGCAGTTTTTATTTTTTTGTAAACTATTTCAAGGTCAAAATTATTAGTCCCTTTAAGCTATGTTGTTTTCGATAGTCTACAGAAACAAAACCTAATAAAAATAGAAGCACCGCATGATAATATAGATTACACTATCATATATACAATTCAGTAAATAATAGCAAAAAAACAAAAAAAAACAAATTGATGGCAGCAGAAGAGGACAAAATAAGAAAAACAGTTCAAATAAGTATCAAAAATACAGTTCTAATGCTGACTTTCAATAATCATTTTTTTTTTTACATGAAACTGAAAAAAACTAAAAGTAAGTGATCTTTTAATTGTTGGTGGGATGGAGTTCCATAGCTTTTACTGAAAATACCGACTGACTGAATTAACTTTTTTTGAGAGGAATAATACGATACCCTCTTTCACCACCCCTAGTAGTTCGGCGAACAGTCGTTCCACCACTGATTTAGTGGTGAAGTCGGGTTATGTAAAGTCTTAGGGTGCTTTCACACTTAGACTTTTGTTTCATAACCTGTCTCGTTCGCTCAGTTAGTGCTGTTCATTTGGCATATGTGAATCCAGCAATCACGCTCTGATCCACGCCAAAACAATCGGTCCGAGAAACGAACACTGGAGCTGATCGATTGTAGTGAGAAAGCGATACGATCCGAGCCCGGCTATATCATAGTGTTTTATGGATTTGAAATAGATATACAAAGTCTTCCGGAAGTTAGGGGAGTCTCCCGCAAATGCACAGAGACTCCCGGATGCCACAAACGTGTGATAATCTCCCGGAAATCGCACGACTTCCTCCCGGTCCTCAAATACATTGCGCACCCTTCTCTCACCCCTCCCCACCGCATCCCTCCTCACTCTTCAGATACGTCGCACGCACCCTGTCAAACACCACCAAACCACCACCCCCCTGACAGCTAAGTGGAAAATAAACCGTGAAACTTTGACCAATGTGAGGAGAGTTGACTCACACATGACTTGATTGGTCCGTTTAGAAACTTCTCAGTGTGAATGCAAACTGCTCCAAGAACAATGAGCAACAATGTAACAATTTTGATTCCTGTTTCGGAACAAATGAATCGATTCACAGGTGTGAAAGCACCTTTAAACAGTAAACAAATATGTACATATTTAATGACATTTTCTCAATTAAGCAGGTTGTATTTAAACAATAAGTGATATAAGAAATTATCATGGAGTGATAATAGATTAGGGCAGCCTCACATGACGTATAGTCACGAATAAATCTAAAATTTGCTAAACTGAATCTGAGCCGGTTACAAACCTTTTTAACCTGAGACTTAAATGATAGTTTCAATCAAAACACCAAGGTACTTGTACTCAGGTGCAACTTTTAATCTTTCCTCTGATACAAATACATCTGGTACTCCCCTTAACCTATCATTTTACGAAAAAAACATACACACTGTTTTAGTGATGTTCAACGGTAAAACAATCTTTCCGCTCTATAAAAATGTCCTTTATAGTGGTAAAATCTTATTTTGACTTTTTAAACATTGTGCTTATTAGTATTTCTTTTAAAGAAGGCTGTTCCAGATTTGGTTTTTCCATGGCGTCCCGGGCAAAACCCCCTTGATTATAAATAGTTTATGTTCAAGTGAATAATAGGTCCCCTATAACTCGTGATTTCTATACAAATGTTACTGTCCAGTAGGGTTGGCCAGCCCAACAGCCCAATGGAGAGGCAGCTCTGATGAATATTTCAGCATAAAGTCTTTTGCATAATTTAACAGGCACACATATAACACAACTCTTGGATGCCAGTGTGCTGTAGAGGTTTATAGCTCTAGAATCATCTCCCAAATTCCCAGACATCAAACATGTATGTAACATTTCTCTAGAAATAGAATAAGTCATGCTTTAGAATTGCAGGAACCAATCTAATTGCTTTATTGTAAGCTGTGCTCATCTGCATATAAATGATGAATGGAGTGCACTGCACACAGATACATCCATATACATATGCTCCTATAATGTATGACTGTATTCTCCCATGGATTGCCTTCTGCATACTGTAATGCTGCTTATGGAGCTAAATAGAGATGGTGTGCAGGAAGTGAAGAGATACTGGGATCACAACCCTGTTTTATCCTAATTTTTGCTTTAAATGAAACACTTAACCTCAGGTTGCGCCTGGGGGACTGTGTTTTCGTTAGCCAATTGCATATTGCTGAATAACAACCAAAATAACAACTGCGCCTTCAAACACTTCTGAAATAATCATGCAACGATTGTCAATTGATTGGTTGCAAGGCCTGTTCCTATCATGCTCAAGTGTATATTTAAATATATACACCTGTAGGGATAATTTACAGTTTGAACCCAAGGAATGACCAGTCTGAAGAAGAGCCGGAGTCAAAGATTTAAAGAAATTAAGTTCACTGAAAATAGTTTGCCGTTTCATCAGCAAAAACCAGCTTTAACACTTGCACTTTAACAACTTTAAATCAACAACAATTATACTCTCACATAATGTCATTAACTGCGTCATACATATAGGTGTTTTAACCTGATTGGTTAAAACACAGATCTCAAAATCACAACATCTCAATATCTCAAGCATACAAATGTCAGACATCCACTAGACCATTTAGAGCTGACTCCAGACCTGAGAAAGAATCCACAACCGAATAGAACGCACACTCAAAGTACAACCTGTTTCTTACCCAATGCTGAGTGTACTCTTAGCCGTCTTTATCAAAACTCTATCTTGAATGAAAAAGGAAAATCACTTTAAACAGAATTAACACATCATAATAATATCAAAATCACTTTAGACAGTATTAACATATAGCAACACAAATAGGAAAACTGTTGTTTTCAGTCATCAAGCCCTTCAGTTCTACCAGAAAAACCAGGGAGATAATTATGATATTAGATTACATTTATTGATGAGTAATATTTGACAAAAGCATCATTTAACAAAACATAGGATTTCTTTGGCAAAAGCCCCATCATTAGCTTGATTTGGAAGCTTTTAGATCCAGCTATGACTACCTAGGACGAAAGCAGTGGCGGAGCCTTTACCCCCAGGACAGGGCCACACTGGTGGGGGTGGGGATGGGTCGGTACCTGCAACCAAATGAATGAAATGAATTGGACAGCTTATAAATTCCTTGTGTCTCTTGGCTATTGGCTGGAACTTATTGTGATGAGTGATGTGGTATTATGTCTTTCTGGTAGTACTAGCACTAAAAGCTACATTTCCACTCAAGGTCTCCATGATCTTTGACCTGGTTTGGTTCTGAAAATAGAAAAGTTATGAAAATTCATTCTGAAAATAGAGTTACAAAGAGACAGGCTAATGCACTGAACATTCTTATATTATATCAAACAATATGTTAACATTATTCATTAGTCAAAATCATTTCAGGATTAAATAATGATAAAAAAAATCATATTAGTAAATTATTAAGAAAAAGATAAACGTTGATCTATGCTGGGACGGATTGGAGGGCAGAAATCTGAGTCCATCACATCCCATTGTTTTATATACAACAGCAACTATTGAAGATACCATTAGTTAGATTATCAATAGGTAATGTTTTATTTAACATGAGCAAATTATGAACAATACATTCAATGTAGTATTTTTTTTATCTTTGTTAACGTTAGGTAAAGAAAATATTATCATTCATTAACTAATGTTGACAAGCTCACCTTTGAATTTTAATAACGCATTTGTAAATTATGAACTATGCTGATCATATTAAATTATTAAATACATTCATTATATAAACTCATTATACTTTGTTCTATTTTCTATTACTTTTATTTAATGATGCTATTGCAATGGCAATGCTATAACTTGGGTAAGAAGTAGATGAATGTCCTCAAAGTGAAAGTAGCTGTGATATTTTCATTAGACTTTCATTTAATTTAAAAAGGTGTTCTCATGTACTGATCTGGTTCTCATCTTAATGCTCATTCAGCTCTTTCCTTCTGGAACACTGAAAGTCACAATTACAACTTACTTTAACAACTGTTGCATTTGCAATTAGATGGTGTTTTTTTTTCTTCCAGATTTTTCCATATTCAGTTAGGAAGTCATAACGATCCTAATACAGATCCTATGTCGAGGAATGACTATATGTCTTAATAAAATCAGTATGGCTCAATACCAGAGTGATAATTGTACTTCTGAGGTGTAACCTTTGCAGAGCTGCATTACATCTGTATGTGGGTTTCAGCGGCACAGCGTTGTCCAAATCTCCACAGCACTCTTTTAATTTATTCAGCATTAAGCCGCAAAAGGTCAAGGACACAGCAGTGCTAGTCTCAAAGGCACGGCCCGCTCCCCATTGCTAATCTAAAGCCCAGAGCTACACTTTTGTGCTGACTTCTTTCTCTGTGCCCTCAAAACCTGGCTTGGGATCATAAATCAGGAACATCAGTGAATAGAAATAACGCTTTATTCTTTCTCTCTCCATCTGTTTAGGTGTCTTTCCTGTGTGACCAGTTCCTTCCGCTGCCACTGGTGCAAGTACAGGAACCTCTGCACACATGACCCCTCCAGCTGCTCCTTCCAGGAGGGACGAGTCAATGCCTCAGAGGTACAAACACAAACATTAGTGGCATGGGGATCTTGATTTTTCATGGCTGATTTGATTGCTGATTTTTACAAGTATATTTGACAATTCAGTAAGTGGCGAAAATGCTTCTAAGCAGTTAGCTGTCATTAAACAAGAAAAAAATAGAAGAAGATTGATCCGTCATTAACCATATATGGTTTGCCTAGATCATGTGTGCTGGATTGTGTGTGCCTGAAACGTGTGTGGTTCTGCAGGTCTGCAGCTGGATATTATTGGCAGGAATAGCTGCATTTGCTTGGTTAGTGTTGTAAACAAAGCAGCTTTTTGCTATTTTATATGCCTTACACAGAGATAATCTATAAAGACTTATACAGTAGATACATTAATAAAACCTCCCATCCCAGAATTCAGCATTTAGGATTCTCTTCCAGTGTTTCTTGCTTTGGGAACAGTGAGCTTGTGCCAGTGAGTTTTTCTATATACAGCTGTATAATCAATACATACATGGTTGTAATCTAAGCAATAATGCAATGTATAGTGTTGGGGAGTACAAGCTACAAGTAGCTCAACTACTAGCTTAGCTACATTTTTCAAAGATATATACAATAGATATTGCATATGGACCCTAAACATGCGTGAATACCGCTGCCACATTTGTACAGTGCTCCCAGGGCATATGTCATTTAATTGCACTAGTCAATCTGAAGATGCAGGACTTTTTCGTTGCATACGGGTGTAGTAAGGAGCAAACAAAGAAAACTAAACTTAAAGGCAGAATATTTCGTTGGTAAGATTTAGTTTTTTAAGTTTTTGTATGTTACAAATTTTGTGCTCAACCAGCCTGATCTCACGAGGAAATGGGCGTATTTGAAGTTTTGTCAGTTTAGTGAGTTCATTCGTACGAATATGTATGATTTTAAAAAGAAGGTGTGGCACCCAACCCCACCCCTAACCCCTACTGTCATTGGGCGATGAGCAAATTGCACTAAATTGTACGAATTAGATCAGACAAATTCAAAAGAATTAGCTATTAAATGAAAAAGTTACGAATTGCCGTGAGATTGCGTTGGCTCAACATGTAACGTTATTGATGATAATACAGTCACTTCCTGCACTGACCATAAGGCAAAGTAGCACCAACTTGCTCTAAATTCTAGGCTTATGCTAGTTTTGTTCAAGAAAACTAGCGAAAATGTAAATGAAAAATGTTAACAAGACGCTGCGGTGCCAGAAACGTATTATTAACTTATAAGAAACGTATAGAAACGTATTATTGTCGGCTAAGTGAAGTAACTGCTAGTTTTTGAAGTAACTTTTGAGGGTACCTGATAACATAATAGTGCCTGCGCCTCACTTTTCACCCTATATTATTGAATATTGCAAATGTTTTATATCATTTTGATCAGAAAGGAGGATATGCACATTGAGACGCAGGGATATCAATGGTGCACACGAATCGCTCCCTCTGTTATAATAGGAAGTGAAAGCAGAAGAGAAGGTGTGTTCCAGGACATGGATTAGATCAAATTTAATGGATAATACATTTCTATGCACACAAACACAAGAGCATGTGTCGGCAATGCCTGAGCGGTCACTTATCCATGGATGTAGAAAAGTGATGTAAACTTATAATTTTTGTAATGTAAAAAAATATTTGCAAATTGACAACCAGGAAAACTCCAGATCATTGATATGTGTATATATGTTTACATATCTTTGTCCTTAAATGGCCAGTCTTCCACTACACCTTGGTCCCACATTCATTTCAAAGGAGTGCTACCCTCTACTTAAATGGCGGCTCTGTTGACGCTTTCCTTCCAATAGACAACAACAGTGTAGGCAACATCTAATGTAAATATCTAGGGCTTGGCGGTAGCTCAACTACTTATGATGCAGTGTAGCTTTTCCAATAGCTAGCTACTTTTTCTAGCAAGTAGCAGTGTAGCCTGACAACAACTACATTCTATTTAAGGAACCAGCAATGTTCTGAAGCTTACAAGATGGGAATCATCCATACGCTATCACACCCTCATTCACTATGGCCAATTTAATTTATTCAATTCACCTATACAACATGTCTTTAGGCTACATGGGAAACACTTGAAGGAAACTACACCAACCCAAAAGTCTTGACTTATCCAAACAATGTTTTCATTTAGTGTTTTAAACATGTGATGTATAAAAATAACAAAGATTAACATTTAAATTGTTTTCTAATATCACATATGAGGCAACTGGGCTTCCAGTAAAGTATTAAGTTTGTTGGTGCATCTGGTCTCCATCTCTGGCTCCAGTTATCACTCCATTTTCACACTTTGTAGACTAAAATCATTGCAGTGCTGCTTGTATGCAAGTCTGGAACAAAAAATGGCCAAATTAACACACTTTTGCGTTCTTACAAGGCGGTCGATAGTTGTAGAGTATCTAGAACAAAAACACACAGTATGTGCATGAGGTTAGAGGCTCTCAGTAGCAAATCTACAGGATCACAACCCTCTGGGGAAGAGCTTCCAATAATAGCTGCTGAAAAGTGTGTGTGAAGACGTTGGTCGTTTCGCTCGAGAGAGAGAGAGAGTGTGTATGTGTGTGTGCACATTTGCAGGTGTTCAGCTGATCAATGTGCTACATTACACCCTGTCAGGTGGTAAACACACTTGCTCACCCTCTCACAGCGAGCAATTAGCAGTCGATATCCGGAATATTCTCTCTCCCGGCACACACAAGCATCCCACTTATTCACACACAACCATATGCACAAAACAAACACTCACGTGGGCAAAAAGGCCTTACCGTGCACCATCAATCATGGTGTGTATGTGTGTGTACTGTATGCACATTTGCATTTTTGTTTGTGAGGGCTTGCATGTGTATGTTTGAGTAGATGTGTATCGTTGTTTTTTTAACCTTATAGTTTAGGGAGAAAACTGCTGTCCTAGAGGTTTGCTAAATATAGATAAATGTTATCTGGTTATATCCAAGGTTATGGTTCATTAAAAAAAGATATATGAGTAATATCATATGAGTAGCAGTGCAATATGGCTGTATATCAGCACTGGTGGGAGACGTACGTTGGCTCGAGGCCACAGACTGAGTACCTTAAGGTGCATCTCGCACCTCCACTGACTGCGCGCACACCTCACGAAAAGGACGAGGCTTTTATACTGTGATAATCCTTAAAACAACACAGTGGCAGTCAAAAGAAACAGACCGTAAAGTCAGATAAACAGTAGATCGTTTCCAGAACTACGTCATATCATTAATATCATTCAATATTTTGAAACTAATTATGTTTTGTATTTTTATAAATTATTTTAATGATTATGAAGATTTTTATAACCATTCAAGATTTTTTTAATTAAACTTTGATGCATCGCTTGCTTTTGTTCATATCTTTGACAGTTTTACCTATTAAAGTTTATTAAAATATTAATGACAACAGAACATGGGCTGCTCTACAAATATATATTTTTATTATGGCAAGAATAAATGCAAAAAAAAAAAATCCCAATGTTTTTATAGATTTAGCCTGCCCAACATTTCACACATCACTGTCTGGCTAGTTTGAGTCCTATACTTATGTTAAAAAGGCAATAATGGTCCAACATTCCTGACTATTATCACTTATAAAGGCCAGAAAAACAGGGCATCAGTATATTAAAAATCGATAGGTTCAAATATTCCTCTCCAGCTAACAATGAAATAATTCTAATTCTGTGACATCATTTTAGTTTTGTAACTATTGAATTGTTTTAATTGTAAAATTGTAATATATACATCAGTGTAAAACATATGACTGGTGGAAAAACATATTCTGTAATTTTGAATTTTTTTCAAAATTAATGTGGTTACAAAACAGGTGATTTTTGCTCACATTTCAAGATTATAAGGCTGAACGGTATGAAATGCCATCAGTTTACAGAGATTTCCCAGTAATTCTGTGTTGCAATCGGGATATCACCATAATTAACCCCGAAAAACCCAAAGCAAATGAAACACTACCAGATTACTATCGTATAAATACACCACTACAACATACAAAAGAGAGAGAACAACTAAGAATGTAATTTACCTGTTTTAGAATGATTTAATCAGCTGTGGTTTGAAATTTACGCTGAGTTTTTCTCACTTAAGGACTTATTATGCAGTCTCTGTCGCCATCTTGTGGTGGAACCTCAATTGTTTTTGCTCTGCTCAGTATGACAGGCTAATGGCCGCCGATGTGCTTTTTTAAAATAGGCCTTATCCTTTTAAATAAATTGCATTGTTTCAATCTAAACAACTACATTCTTGCCTAAAAAAGTCTCAAAGTACATTATGTTGTCCAACAGCTGCAATATTTGTCAAAATGTAGTGAGTTTATTGATCTACTGTCACTCTATGTGGGTGGAGTAATATGATGAAAAGGCTGTACGAGTTCTGCTATTGCAAAATATTGCACATCTATCAGCCAATCAGATTTGAGAATAAGACAACTGTTGTATAAGTATATTTATTTATTTATTATGTTTTGCCAGATAATAACATTATACTTTATATCTATTTTAGCTTCCTCTTTTTATTTATTTAATTTCCTTTGCTTTTAATGCCCTTGTATAAACTGTATTTCTGGCTCCTGTCTTGTATACTACAAGTCTCCCTTATGCCTCCATTGAGTTTGGTAAATATGTATTCGTCTATGATATTTGTGTGTGTGTGCCTGTGTAGAAGTGTAGTATCGGAGAGGCACTAGGGACACCTCTCACTGGCTGACCTACTATTGCTTGACGTCTCCACACACAGCTTTTAGAGAGCAGCACATCACCATGCTTTTAAAGAGCACCTGAGGCCTGGTGTAGGGACTGTAGCTGAAGTATATGCATTTCTGTGTACACATGTTTTGTAAACCTCTTTTCATCTATCTGTCATGCTCACTACTAGGCACACTCGGATGGGTTGGGATTTTACTTATTTGCCTTGACTACCCGTTCACCTCTCGCTCCCTTCACTTCTTTAGGACTGCCCTCAACTGGTGCGCTCTGAGGAGATCCTGATCCCAGCAGGAGAGGTGAAGCCCATCACCCTGAAAGCTCGGAACCTTCCACAACCTCAGTCGGGGCAGCGCGGATACGAGTGTGTGTTACACATTCAAGGAGTCAGTCACAGAGTCACGGCGCTCAGATTCAACAGCTCCAGCGTGCAGTGCCAAAACAGCTCGGTATGTGTTAAGCTGTGAAGGAAGCTGAAAAGAAAATCAATTAAATGTCAATGATATCATACAAATTGATCATAGACAACAACAGGTCAATTGAGAGAAACTAAGACTCCAGGTTAGGTTTATCACCTGTGAAAGTCGCCCGACCTAGATTTGCCCAAATATAATGTCAAATTTATAGTTCGAAATTCACACTATTACAGTATATACTGTTATATCACCAAATTATCAAAGCTACATTCTGCTAATCAGATTGATCGGCTAACTAATAAGAAAACTGATGGGGTGAATTAACTCAAATACACTCAAATGTTTTTGTGGAGGTAGCTAACACAGGTTACTATGAGTTATCAGATATGCCTGTGTTTACATCCGCAAATGCAATCTCTCTTGCTGGCATGCTTCATCTCTGTGTGCCTGTGATTTATTCAAAGTAGGGACTAGGAGATCTAACACGTCATTACTGATGATAATTCAGTCAAATATTGTGCGAAAATAGCTAATTTAACCATATACTTTAACTATATATAACCATACTGACCAACTTAACTATACAGTATAACTATAACTTTATTATACATGATCATTATATTATGGAATAACCAACAGCTTACAGTGTTAAAGGATTTTAATTGCACTTCAAGGAGGCACAAAGTACTTTTTGACTTCACGTCATGCATATTTTAAATGTATTTAACATTCATTAATTCATTGATTATCCCTTACATATTTACAAATGATTAATCACATCCAAGATAAAAGTGTGTACACACATAATAAAAATACACACGTGCACTGTACATAAAATACAAAAATATACAAAAAAAATACACTTAAAATGATTACTTATGCATATATTTATATACACAAAAAAATACTCAGTTCGCACAAATATGTCTTGTAAATATGAACTTTGATTCTGGTTGGGATTAATCAATTTACAGCACTAATCTCAACACTTGCCTCATTTTTACCAACCAAAAACCACAAAAATCGAAATTTTTTATTGGTTACTAGACCAGGGATTTTCAACTGGTGGGCCTCAGCGATCCTGCAGGTGGGCCGAGGGATAGTTTAAAATGAACTCTCAATATTGTACTAGAATTTTTGGATTTCATTATTAATATGCTATATTTAAATTATCAAAGTATTCTCCTGTTCGCTGATTAATTTCTTCAAACAGCCTCATGATCGCGTCTGCAACTACTACACGTAAGTCTGTTCATTCACAATGCTGAAGTGAAAGTCACTTTTTGTGTATTTTTTGTGTGAAGTATTTCATATATCCGCATAGTTGTCCAAGTCAATGTCCTGTAAGTATTTTATAACGGATTCACACCTATACAGGAGGATCTAGCGAGTCTCAATGGTGTTTCTGCCCATTGATATAATGTAAAATAAACTTGCATATGTGCTTCAGACGCGCTCTGGTGGAGCTGTTCACTGTTCTTGTCAGCGGTCTCTCAATAAAATCCAGCTGCAAACTTAACCACCATCAGATCAACAGGTTTCAACAGATTTAGGCTGTTTTACTGTATTTTACATTTGTCTGTATATTTTTGAATAGTAGATATTTAATAGATAGTAGATAGATTTAGTAGATATTCAGTCAGTCCAGTTTAAAGCAGAAGCTGGTCTTTTGCAATCTCCCTGTTGACATATATTTGTTAATAAATAAAGGTTTAAATGAGAATTTTATACAAACATTTTAAAGAAAATATCAAACAGGTGGGCCTTCAATAATTGATGGGAGAAAGAAGTGGGCCCCGAAGTGAAAAAGATTGAGAACCCCTGCTATAGACCATTTTAAAGGATTTCCTGTTCTACATTTTTAATTTTCAAAGGTTCCGAGAATCCTAAAAGGTCAACATATTGATAAATATTGTTAGGACAACTGTTTTAATGTTGAGATATAATTGAATTTCATCTTGTTCAAGTTATTTAAACAGTTTGGCAACAAGCAGGGAATGTTCATGGGCCAAGGGCATCGCCACATTGAAATGGTCTATAGAGATCCACATACACTAAGTTTAATACATGCTTTTGAATAACTTTTTCATGTAAAACGAATGTAGTTACAAACTGACCCTACCAGTGAATTTGATCTAACCCTAGATCTAGTTTAGCAGTGGTTACTTGCTACGATATGTGATGATATAACAAATGGAACTGTGAAATTCAATGTGGCACAGCAGCGGTTTACCTTTCCACCTCTTCTTTCGTCTCATTTTCTTTCATTCTCTTTCAAATGAATGCACATCCACGCACTCTGTAAGCAGAGATGAAGGCGGTTGGAGCTCAGTGTCCAAGCTGTAGAAAACAGAAGCGTTGAAAGTCTTCCTTATTCCTTAGACTGATGATGCAAGGCCGGAGTAACTCAATAAGAGAGCTAATGCAGTCAAACCACGGCTATTTCCCTCTCTTTCACTCTCTCGCTCATGTTATTTGCCTCACTCTCTTGTGCTCTCTGCAGTTTATTCCTTCTCTCTTTTGCTGCGTATTGTAATCAATAATGGACATTAAATCTAATTTTAAAAAGTATGAACTTTACATTGTGTTTGCAAAATGTTGTATACTCTTTGTCCGTCTCTCTGCAGTATCTGTATGAAGGCATGAGAATTAGTGAGCTGCCTGTGGATTTCTCAGTTGTCTGGAATGGAAACTTCATCATTGACAATCCTGAGAACATCAAAGGTAACGCACATGAAGGAAAGCATGAAGAAGTGTGTTTCTAAATTGAAACATTATTAAAATATTCTGTAAACTGTCTGAAAAAACAAAATAATCTTGGTTTAATGTTGTGTTCTCTTCAATTAGGCCAGTTAGATTTATGCATATGCATCTAAAACCTGTATAATACAGGTTTTATAATAATTGTTTTATAATAATTTATAATAACTGTATAATAATTCATATGATCAATAATTATTCAATAAATTTATTAGGTTGTGATGATAAAATATGCAAATGCTGTTGAAGACAAAATGATTAGCCCTCTTGTGAATGTTTTAATGTCTTTTACAAGTGATGTTTAGGAGAGCAATGATTATGACTTGTGTAGAGAATAAAGTATGTATTGAATAAATGATAAATACATAAAATAGAATGAGTAAATGTAAAGAATATGTTGAGGATAAAACATATTTGAATAGAAGAACCAACCCAGAGATGGGTTGCGCCTGGAAGGGCATCCGCTGCGTAAAAACTTGCTGGATAAGTTGGCGGTTCATTCCGCTGTGGCGACCCCAGATTAATAAAGGGACTAAGCCGACAAGAAAATGAATAAATTAATGGCTACCCGCTTGTTAAGTGTGACATCACTCGAAGCGCCTTCCAGGTCCAATAGCTCAATCAAACTGTATGGGAAGACTCAACATATAGTAATAATAAATGTTTACAAAGCGATGTAATACTTTCGAAAATAACGATCGCAACATATACAAACATCCCTAATATCTAATGACCAGAAAGTGATACATTTTTTATCATTTGTAAAAATATTGGTGTCTGTAATCCAGCCGGTCCAGAGACTGTTGTGATTTTATATACTTTATATTCACTTTATTATGTGGTATGACTAAAAGTGCTCATAAGTGAATATTTCCTTCCGTAGTTGGTCCCAGAAACGTTAAGCGATCCGCTAGAAACGTGAAGGCCGCTGAAGCAGCACCGACAGATCCCAAATTTAGTTTGGCAATACTTGACGCCACCCATTTAAAGTGAATGGCAAACATTGACGCTGATGCCCTGTGGGAATGGAGCATTATTCAAGAAAATATTTTAAGGAAAATGTTTTAAAAAGAATTTAAAAATATTCATTATTGATCAAACTGAAACATGACTTTTTAATCAGTCTTGTTGTTATTTTTATTTTTATTTAATTTTTTATATTTAATATTTAGTAATTAGTAAGTGCCATAAATATATAGGCAATGCTGATGATATGCCATTAAAAAAAATAAATAAATGAATAAATAAATAAATAAATAAATAAATAAATAAATAAATAAATAAATAAATGTTTGTTTGTTTGTTTGTTTGTTCGTTAATTCATTTATTCAAAGGAAGGTGGAATCAAACCACAGGTTTATGATTTCTGGATTTTATTTAAATGTGTTTTCTGTAAATTGCTGAAAAGTTTATTACTCTAACTTCAGTCTAGATAGTTATGAAAACAAACCCTAAAATAAAATGTAAATAATGTTTGATTGCCAGAATAGTAATACAGCATGATCCTACATCAACTAAACACCCTCTGGGTGAGCCTGTCTGCAACAGTAGCCAAGCCCCAAACGCTTCTCATTGGTTGATTTTGAAAATGATTGATGGATTGACAAATCAAAGTTGTGATAGTTCCAGCAGGGCTCAGTGTTTATACTTTTGCTGGAGATAAACCCTGCATACTATAGCAGTCAAATTAGGTTAAACTAAATCTATTTAGACAAAAATCTCACATGCTTCACCTTTTAATGACATTTGAGATGATTGATCATGCTTATTGTTATTCATGTCATGCTTATAGAAAAATGAGAGTCTGAAGTAGCTTTTTTCGTGCTCAGCAAAAGCTAAACCCTCACGGTTGTGCTGAGCTTCGTGATTTCATCAATCCTCAAGATGTTTTTGATCAATAATTCTGTCAGATACATCAACCTAAGCTTTCAGGAAATCCCATACAAACTTGTTACAATTTACAGCACATCAAACCTCATATTGTCGTGGAACAGTCCCTTCAGCAGTTTCCTCCTGTATCCCACAGTGCACCTGTACAAATGTGGCGCTCAGCGGGACAGCTGCGGTGTGTGTTTGAAGGCCGAGAGGAAGTTTCAGTGTGGATGGTGCAGTATGGAGGGCCGATGTACCCTGCGCCAGCACTGTCCCATGACCAACCCCTACACCAGCCGCTGGCTACACCTCGCCAGCACCAATGTCAAGTGCACCAACCCTCGAATCACCGAGGTGGGTCTGCGGAAAACATTTATTTCATTTTACAATCAAGAACAGTCAGGTCTCGATCTGTTTTTTCAAACTTTTACGATTTTTTGTTTTGTGTTTACATGAAGTTAAGAAAGATCTCTGAAGGCTAATTTGATGCTAATTCAGCATTAACATACCAGACATGAATACTGTATAAGTGTGCATCCAGCATCATTGATAACTCAGACAAATGCGCACACACAGATACTCTCACTTGGTCAACTCATATTTCCACTCTGCTGTCTGAATGAGCTCTTTATTGATGCTGCTATTCATAGAAAGGTGAGCTGTGTGTATGGAGAGTAATATCTAATCTTCCCTGTCACTCTCATCATCAGTCTAGCTGCCAATATATCACGTTTTCTTGTAATTAACGCAATGTTAGAACATTGATGGCGTACTGTGAGAGGTGTGTGCGTGTATGTGTGTGTGTGTGTCTGCTGGGGAAGACATGGTGTTTAATTAGTTTAGGTAACGCACCAGTGGCCTGTGTTTAAAGTACCTGACTCATGGAACCCATTGATTCACGTGGCTGTTTGCAATCTGCATATCACAAGCTGTTGCCCCATGTGACACAAACCAATTAAAAAGTAAGGGTTATGACTTCTTGTTGTCTGTTTTCATTAAGGATGAATGGGCAAATTAAGGTTAAGAGCTATGAGAAGAATGGCTTGTTTTTGTTGATGGAGAGTGTTAAAAATGGTGTTAATGTTGTACTGAAGCATTGGGCCTTTGTTTGTGTTTATGGAGGTGTCGATGTGTGTTTTCACTTTTACGGGTGTGTGTGTTTGTTATACAATTTACAGTAAGTCATATAATGCAGGGTTATTAAAGGTAATTAAAACTATTTAAAAATGTATTTATTACATTTACTATTTATTTATTTATTTATTTATTTATTTATATTAATAACTATTTAAAAACTATTTAAACAATTTGTCCTTTGAGTGTTTGTAGTCTTTAAATCATTTTATTAATTTATTTTAATCAATTGTATTTTATGTCTTTTTAATTTATTAAATATTTATTTTATTTATATTAAATTAAAGTATAGTTTAATTTAGTATATATATATATATATATATATATATATATATATATATATATATATATATATATATATATATATACATACATACATATACATACATACATACATACATACATACATACATACATACAAATATGTATGTATTTTTTTATTAAAACTAAATTAAATGTAAATGAATACAAAATAAAAAAATAAAATGCATATATTTATTTATATATTTAACTAAATTAAATAAATATACATGAATAAAAATAAAATAATATAATTAATGAAACAAATAATAAATAATTATTAATAACATTATTAATAACTAAATTTTATATTAATTAATAAATTATTTAATTTATTCATTCATTAAAACATTGTGCTTATATTATTAATTATTGATTAAAAGGCTGAAATAAAACACACAAACAAAGGATAAATTGTAACAACCAATAAAAAAGCCAAATAATACTTAAAAAACAAGTAAAACTATTATTTAATGACACATTTATTCAATTATTTTAACTGTAATTTTATTTTAACATACAGTTGAAATCAGAATTATTAGCCCCCCTTTATTTATTTATGTTTTTAAGTAGTTTCCAAATTATGTTTAACAGAGCAAAGAAAGGTTCACAGTATGTCTGATAATATTTTTTCTTCTAAAGAAAGTTTTATTTGGTTTATTTGGGCTAGAATAAAAGCATTTTAAATTTTTTTTAAAACCATTTTTAGGTCAAAATAGTTTTTTGACCTTATTTTTCAATAGTTTACAGAACAAACCTAATCCTAATAATCCTGCCTAGTTAACCTAATTAACGTAGTTAAGCCTTTAAATGTCATTTTAGGCTGTATAGAAGTGTCTTGAAAAATATGTAGTACAATATTATTCACTGTCATCATGGCAAAGATAAAATAAATCAGTTATTAGAAATGAGTTACTAAAATTATTGTGTTGGGAAAATCTTTTTTCTGTTAAACAGAAATTAGGGGGAAAATTAATGGCCTAATAATTCAGGGGGGTTAATAATTCTGACTTATTCAACTAAACAGTACCTTGATACACTGACTTCAACAGAAACTCTGCCACTTAAACTATCAAAATTGAAAACATACTCCAGTATTTATTATACTACTATATTTGCTTACTTCATATACAAAAATGCAAAAAAAAACAAAAAAAAAACATAAAATTACAACAACAAAAACATGAAATATACAAAAAAACAACATAAAATTACAATGCACCAGCACATTCATCTGACCTTGTGCATGACGTGCATCAATATTGATAACATGTTATGCACATGCTTTTATCACACAATCTTAAAAGGCTGCATTCAGTACTATATCTACTATATATATACCATCCCTTGTGGATGCCAGATCCAGAATGAACATGGAGCTCTGCATTTCGTGTTTTCAAACGTGCATTTGCCAAGCCCAGATTACAAAGCAGCGGAGCAGTACCTTCAAAGCAAATTAGTGTGAATATTTTTAATGCATCCATTTTTAATCTGTTCTCTCCAAGTTGTTCATTTCCATTTTTTCTTTTCTGAGTCCCACTCTCATACAGAAAAAAAATGTCCTCCAGAGCAGTCGGTTCGGCAATCGTCTTGTGTTCTTAATTTAGTTATGTTTTTTGTCTGAATATAGACACACGTAAGCTGATTTGCGCAAATACATAGACATTAGCGAGATCTGCCTACAAGAAAATGACAGTCATGAATGATTAACGCTTCTATTAAGCAGCGCTCTATCCCTCCTCTAAAGATTCATTAATATTAATGAGGCTTAAGTCCTTAGTGAAAGCCAAGGGTTCGGCATCAAATGAATGTGGAGGAAAGGCAGGTACTTGAAGCTGGTCTTGACGTCGCTCTTTGCTTCAGATGCTCTCTGAGCCTCTCCTTAGTAGCTCAGTCACGGAAATGTTGGTGACAGTGCGTGCTTCGCAGAACTGATCTCGGATCAGACATGGTAAACTTTGTGAACTTTTTGACTTTTTATGCATTTTTTGTGATTAATTATTATAGGCTTTAATTTAAGATGAACTATTATATAATCATATAATGTTTTAATAAATGTTATAATACTTTCATTTAGTTTAAATCCAAGTAAATAAAAAAAACATATTTGTTATAAATGTATACCATTCCTCTTAACACATTTATGGTTACATTTACAAAAAGCATAAATTAATTACTAACACTTTAATTAAAATTTAAATCAAACCATGAGCAGAGAAAAATATGTGGCAAGAAATCAGTTAAATATTTTTCTTTATTTTTTTTATGGTTATTTTATTTGTTTTGTTTAATTTAATTTTATTTTGCTTGATTTTATTTTTCATTTTATTTTATTTAACTCTACTTTATTTAATTAAAATTTCTATGTAATTTAATTTAATTTTAATACATTTAATTTTATTCTTTTTTATTTAGTTTATTTTATGTTTGTTTGGTTTAATATAATAATAAATTTTTTTAAAAATTTTATAAATTTTTACATGTAATTTAATAAAATTTTGCTTTATTTAATTTTTTATTTAATAAAATTTTATAAAATTTGTTTTTCTTGTTTAAATTAATTTAATTTTTCTTTATTTAATTTTTCTTTATTTAATCTTATTTTTTATTTGATTTAATTTCACTATTGTAATTTATTTTATTTTGTTTATTTTATGTTTATTTTGTTTAGTTAAATTTTATTTTGTCATTTTTTATTTTATTTCATTTAGTTTTATTTCACTTTAGAGGCATACTGTACATTCTTGACTCCAAGAAATGCCAGAGGGCTTTAAGAAATGCATTTGCAACCATCCATGAATTTGTTTCAAAACATAGACCAAGGCCTCAGCAAATAATGGCCTAAATACACAAACACATCCTGACACTGACAGCAAGAGAAAGACCGTCCACGATGAAATTTGTCATGAATAAATAAAACTGAGCCTGATAGAACCCTCAACGCTTGTCTAGTACGACACAGTCTTTCCACAAAGTCACATGTCTGTTTACAGAAGAGCATTCAGCTCGACTCACTCAACCACAAACTCCAATTTTAAACCGGATGCACCACTTTCAAGTCCCCAGTTTCTTTCTTTTCTTGCTTAAACACTCGCTTGCTTGGCCGAGGCTCAAAATCAAGGCCTCTTTTTTCCCTTCCTTTCAGTCTTTATCGCAGCCAACCGTGGGGACATTTAAGAGCAAATAAAGTGTTTAGTGTGCAGTTTATGCAGCAAGAACAAGTCATAAGCTGAGTTTTATCAAGCCCATAAATTGCATCTCACTGTGAATTTGGGACGTGCTTGAATCAGCTGAAAAGACTCCAATCGCGGTAACAAATCACACCTTTCGTCCTCCTGCTGCACACTTTCATTACAGCTTCCTAATTATACACAGCAATTGAGTGCGCGAAAACCCCACGAGGACAGGAAATACATCCCCATTTAGACTCCAACGTGCTGGTGTTAAACATTAGCATTTCTCCATTACTTAGCTAAAGAACCGTTCCAAATGAACTGCAGCACGCAGGGACAGATTTTACCTGTAAGGTGGTCTCACATGGCCAGACCTTCAGACTAACGGCGATACATTGGACTCATCTGCAGTTTTCAGCTCATCAGTGAATAATTAAACAAATTAATTTTATTCAGCATCATGTGTATAAGCATGAAATTCCAGCATTTACAGTAGTTGACCCTGATAAGCAATCAGCTTATCAGCCATCTATTAGCCATCAGTCAGATATTAGCCATCTATTTTTATGCGCATTTTGGATTGTATCAGAAAAAACTCACCTAAAAAAATTAGGGATGCACCGATCCCGATACTTGTATCCTATATCGGTTCAATACCGCATATTTTTGCTTGATCGGGTATCGGCCAGCTGGTATTAGGGATGCACCGATCGCGATACTTGGATCAGATATCGGTTTGATACCGCA